TGCATTATGCGTTATGCAAAAGTCTGTGCTGCGGTCTTTTCCCTTGAGAATCTCTATATACGGTTAATGCCTAAAGCCCGATGTTCGCTAGAAATCGATTTGAGATCTCGAACAGAGAAAAAAATTAACAAATCACATTTAAACAATTTTATCATATGACCATTGCGATTGGTCAATTCTTTCTTCATCCAAGGTCTCGGACCGATTTTTAGCATTGTGGACAGGCTTAAGGTCACGGTGGAAGGGATAACAATGATAACATGGTGTGTGCAGTTTGCAAGCATCTCTCTCTGAGGCCGATCGGTTCTTATTTTAAGACCGTCTTAAGTAATGTCTTAAGCCGCTAATGCGGCCTTTTGATTGGTTCATGATATCTTAAGACTGTATGTAAGACAATTTTAAATATAAGATCTGACTATAAATACCGGCTTGAATCTCCGCCGTCTCTGAATGACAATAAGAGACTAATGATCATTTAAAGTTAATCTACATTGGTGGAAACGAGCATAAAATTAAATTTTCACGAGCTGCTAAAATAAACAATTGGAGCAACAAATTTGTCGCTCGTCCAGTAGCTAAAATTTTGTAGTTTGAACAATTTCAATACGTTAAGCGCTAAACGCTCAAACGCTATTGACAGTGCTGACATACTGTATCGACCGTGTTAACCACCATTGGGTACATCCAGAACGTCAACCGCTCACTGAGCGTTCAATTGAGTTCTTTCATCTTGGCATATTCCATTAGATCCTAAAATATAGACCAATCAAATAAAAGAGCTGACTGAGCGCTTAGTGAGCGGTTGTCGTTCTGAATGCACCGTTGACTGCGATAACCTAATTTACTTGTTGGTTGACTTTAATTTAATTTAATTTACTTGGTTGACTACATAACCTAATTTATTCTTTTTTTATTGTTGATCCAGATAGAGAGAATTCGATGTGCAATCAGAATAATCTAATTGTTTAATTCAGCGTATTAATATCGCAAATAATACATAAAAAATACGAACAACATATCGAATCTGTCGCTTAAATGTCAAATTTAACACTTTTTGTCTTTTTTCATGTATAAAATTGTCGCTGTAATAGTTTTGCGATAAAAGTCGTCATCTTTTTTTGTCGCTGAAATGGCCAGTTTGAGCAGTTCGTAAAAATGCGCCTTTAAGGCTGCCAAACGTTAAACATGGAGCGATATTTATAGTTTGTTTTTATTTTCAAACTGTCTTAAATAATGTCTTACACTAGAGTCACAGTAATACAGTAGCGCAACTCTCCGTTGGTACTCTTGATGTTAGTGTTGGCCAAAATGGAATGCGCATGCACGAAATAAGTAAATTGCCTAGTAACGCCATCTAAAATTTTTTCTCAATTGCTCTTTATTTTTCCGCTCTCTCTCTCTTTCTCTCTCTCTCTCTCTCTCTCTCTCTAAGTCGTTTGTACATTAACCTAAATGTATTAAAACTAAAAGAAATGGATTCATAATTATAATGCAAAATAAAAAAAAATACTGTACGTACAACTGCATATAATTTTGCTTAAAATGAATGCTTTTCATCTTGAATGCATTTTTATTCATTTATAGGAATTGCATGGAGCATATCTCTATGCCTTTTAATCTAAAAATAATATTAGCTTTTTCTGTACATTATGAATACTGTTCAGTTCAAAATTTTGAATAAGAAATACAGTTTTTCAATCAAATTGAATCTAATTAATTGGCGGATAAAGTAACTGGCGTTGGAAACTGGTCCTGAATACCGGTCTATGTCTATGGAATTTTGAAATACAAGCCTGTCTGATCGTATCTTGTCGATGGCCAAACAAACGGCTGCTAAACGATTCACGTAGTGATGAGCGTCACTTCCTGTGGAGGCGTTAGGCGCGGAAGTGGAATATCTATCATATCCGGTATCGGCCATCTTGTCTTGGACCTTTCGCTCACTGTCGTTGTCGTGTAACGAACAATTCTTGCGGTGTTAATCTGGATCGTAGTTCGCTCTTATTTCGAGCGCTTGTCGTCTGTACGTTGTAGCTTGTAGCCGATAGCTCAGTACCAAGAACCGTCCGTAATTCACATATCTCTCTTCTCTTGTCCGCAAGCAGCGTGAAACTTCGTGGTCTGCTAATGCGTGGCGTTTCAGAGAGCTCCCCGACTCGCGTAATGGCGGAGGATTTGGATGTCGAGGCGATGTTGGAGGCGCCGTACAAGAAAGGGGTAAGCCTTGCTTTTCTGTTAACTTTATATCGATCTCATTTTTTTTATTTTCCTTTTTTTTCTTTCTATCTCTTTCTCTCATTTGATCTCTGGATTGCCGCCGTTTCCGTCTCGTTCACACTCGTGCTTCTCATTGTAAGTACTGGATGGCGAGACGTATCTCCTTTTCTCTCTTTTTTTTTTATATATTTTTTTCTAATATATACACTCGCCGCCTTATGAGAGAAAGGGAACTTACCACTCTCCTCCATCCCGCTATCTCTCGCTCTATTATTTTATATATATTCTCTATTTCTATGTGTGTGATATATGGATAGTTTTATACAAGTATATATATATATATATGTAGACAAAGTACGCCCTTGTCTCTGATATACCAACTATTGATCAACACCTCCGTTTTCTGTACTTATAGATGGTACGTTACATGTACCCTTGCGCTCATAGGATGTGCGCCAGCGAGTTCCTTGCACATGAAACTACGAGGTATTAAGAAACAGCAATCATCTAACATCATTCTCTACTTTTTTTTCCTGTCTCTTTCCTTCTTTCTAGTCACTCCGTTTTTTAAATGTTTTTTTTATATTTTTTTCTTACAAAAGGTATAAGGTTTCATAAAATTAAAATGGAGATTACACGCGTTGCTGTTATGGCAATACATTGTTGAATGGAGGCGATTCCGACAGTGATAATGATAACTCGTGATAATCCATGGGAAGCTTCATGCTGTTTGTGCACGTGGTAACAACATCGGTACTGTTAGAAAAGAGTCCCCCTGAGATCTTTGCGCCACAAGCTTACGCGAATAAAAGTTGAATGAATGTGTAAATGAATGAATAAATGTAAGAGTGTGTGATTGAAAATTTGCCAAAGCATATGTACCGAAGGATCTTTGGTCCTAGGCATGAATTTTGATACTTGTGGGTTTAAGAATCTATCTCAAGTGTATAGGGATTCATGAATTTGTGTACTCGTGGATTTAAGCGTACTATGCGAGTAAAAAATGGATATAGATGATATAAAGTTGATCTGGTAAAATGTTTGCACTTATTGGATGAATGAAATTGTTCTTGCATTTTTTGATGCAATATAATACTTCTTGAATAACATAATATTTTAAGAAGATCAAATTTATCTTATCTTTAAGACATGTTATATAAGAAATAGAAGGGTATTTTATGTTTAATAACACTGATAATATTCGGATATATAATATTTGAAAATTAGTTTTACAAAATTTTTTTTCTGTATTCAAGCGGTCTTATGTATATCTTGATTTCTTATGTTTAATATATAAATTATTGTAATTATTAATCTTATTTTTACATAATTATCTTATGTAAAGATTAAATATTTAATTAAAACATTATCAGACACAAGTAGAACTTGTTGAATAAACTGTAATTTATAAGTTTAAAATATTTGCAATGTTACTTTCGTTTATTTTCACTAATTCACTATTACATTACTTTTGCTTGAATACTTCTCTCCATTTGTACAAAACCTAACATTTTCTTTGTTTTTATTGCAAAGTTGTAAAGTACAAATATGGTCACATTAAAATATTATTATCGTTGTCAGATGTTTTGCTAGGGAAAACGCGTTTTACTTGTGAACGAGCTCATTTTACAAAATATCTAAACCCTACCCATTGTTTTTATACAATTTGTAATGATAGCAATTTCCCTTCTAGGTAGTGACATCATCAGGTATTACAACACTTAATTGCAGTGCGACAGAAGACACGTCAGGCTTCCGAAATTCTTACCTTGTTCTTAGCGTATTATTCTCTATTAAATTTAATGTTCCCAAATTGTTTACAAAGTGCGTATCCATCTTATTAATCAATTCTGAGTGTAGCTTGGATATATGAGTTATATATCTATGTCTACATGTAGAAAACTTCAATTTTTTACAATACAATATGTATAAATAAATGATAAATATTTAATGCGCAGTAATTTGATAATAATGCATTAAAAGTTTTCATGTAATGGTGTTATGTATCTATGTCACTTTTTGTAAAACTGGTTTGTCTCTTAGAAATCGGATAGGAACTTTGTAAACATCCTGTTTTATGTTTCAAGTTTGCAAATGATCACGTAAAATTATAGTAAATTGGTTTGCAAAATAAGATATTTAAATTTATTTAAGAAAATGTTTCAAGAATTTGCTTATGTTCTTCATCAGAATACTTCGTGTGCGTTCATGGAGATATTATTAACACTACGTGTCATTCTATCCTTGTTTTATATTCAAACGATGGAGATAGAATGACCCAAATAGAGCCGAATATGAAGTCTCCGAACGCAGCCTTTGTATTTTAAATAAAATTTAAATTTTAATTAAATGAATCATTGTCGGGATTGTAAAAGAAAACATATCAGTTGTTTGTGCTCTGTTATGTATTAAATTGTCCTTGAATTGCGATGTAAATTGCATTATTACAAAAATGAAAGAAACATTTTCTGGACTCAGCCGGATCGCGGGTTTGTGTGGGTCGTGCAGAATGCTTACGGGTCGATCTTTTGCTCATGTTAGAAGAAGGGGGAGGGGATGTAAAAAGAACGGCAGTGTAAAACGATCCCTGATTAACGAGAGACACACTCCCTAATCAGCAAGTACGCGCTGGTAATCGTAGGCTAGCGATTAGGAGTGCTCGCTCGCGTCTCTCGCGTTTACAACCTTTTTGAAATCGTGCTGTCTTTGATGAGGGCTCTCTTTTGCAGAAGAAAAAGGATGTGTGGTTGGCCATTGGTAGTTTAAACACCAAGGCATGCTCAACCCAAGATTGCAATGCTTTCCTAATACCCGATAAAACGATTGGTAAGTTTGAGCCAGGTGCATGCGACCGTGTCGCATCGCTATGCTCACCCCGTCTGTCTTTTTCTCTCTTTCTCTTTTTTACACGCTCTCTATCTCACGCTCGCTCTCTCTTCTCTTCTTGTACCTTCCCCTCCTTCAGCGCTCTCGGAGACCCATAGAGTTCTGGAAATAAAACGAACAGAAAAGATGAGAAAGAGCACGAGAATTGACGCCGACGTCTGTCTCTGTCATCCAGCATAAAAAAAAGCATTGCTTTTCCTCAGCAAGGGAAGGTTGCTACCATAAGTACTGACAGGCGATACGAAAAAGAAAACATTATCTCGTAATTCTCGTTAAATTTGACATTTGACAAGAAAACAATAAATATAAATGAGAAAATATAAAGATATATATAATGTTATTATTATATTTATACATATTTATAGTGAAAAGACTGTCATTATGAAATTTACTAACGTTTTACGATTTGCTTTTTGTCCCCTTGTTCGCGCGTCCCTGCCACATCGGCTGGCTGGCATGGCATTCAACTGTTTGCTGTTCGTAGGAGCAGGACTCCTCTTCCAAAGACAAGTCCTCCAAGGAGAATGGGTCTAGTCGCAAATCATCTGGGTGAGTAGAAACTTTTCTTGCATTACTTGGCTATATTTATAAATTAAGTGGAGACTGTAGATGAGGATTTAATTGCACGATCCTTGTATCTAACTTTAAAGCTAAGAAAGACTAGGTGACCCTACATCCCGCATTAAAGCTTACTCGAATTTGGAGATCTTGTTAAAAGACGTCGACTTGCTATCATTTTATTTTTATTTTCTCGTGTTTTGAGACTTTACTTGGGTCACTTTCAAAATGAATGATTTTTTTTATGAATTAATACATCTGAATCATAGCATTGACTATATGACGCGTTAGTAATAAAGGATCAATGATAATAGAATAATATTAATTATGAATAAAAGAACTTAAGTTTTCTAATTTATTTGAAAATTTACTTAAATGAGGAACACGAAAAAATTTGGGCTGTGAAAAATTATTTCACTTAATTTTTTTTTGTATTTTTCTGCGTGTACTTTGTTGCAACGCGAAATAATTATTACGATTAGGTTGTTAAAATTTTCGAAAAGTTCATTGTGACTATTATTTGAATATTATGTCAGTATGTTGTTAATCCCGATACACCGTCAGTACACTGTCGATTCAAATTAGAATAAATAAAAAAAGGCTATACCGTTATTTCCCGCAACGCCTTCATATCTTTACGCCATAATTGAAGCAGCATTAGACACTTGCCTAACAGACCCATCTGAAGATTTATTCTCTTTGTTATAGACCCCATACAATTAGTAAATGCCGGTTAATTTCATAATTCCAAAGGTTAAACCCGATGATGGTAAGTATATAGGAAGAATATCTGTACTACAGATTCTCCTTTCGCGAAATCGATATGTATCCTTATAAATAAAAAAAGATGAAATAAAATCGTATACAAGTAATGAAATAAAATCATTACAAAGTTGCATTGTGCTGTCTTAATAATTGAGTTATAGAAAACTCGATATTAAAAAATAATAACAAAATTCAATAATGTAATTTTCTTTTTATAACTGAATCGAATGCTGTAGAACTAAGAATGCATTTTCCAGCATCTCAGTGTACTCATGTTGTTTTACTATTACACATTTATTTAAATTACTTATAAAAAAAATGTTATATTTTCTTTAACCGAAGCATTTAACGATATATCCCATACATATAATATACTTCTATAATGATTATAAAACATCGATACAGATGTTAGAGTTCATTAAAGATTAGAATTTCGTATATGTAGGGATTTCCAATAGAATGATTTTAGCCTTCGATCTTGATAATTTTACATTTTTAGTGTTTTTTTTATTTTTTTATTTTTTTTTTGAAACTTAAACGTTTTAGCTTTGAAATGGAAACTATTCTTTTTCGTTTAATACAAGCTGAGTACATTAAAAAATTAAAATATAACTTTAATATACTATATATGTAAAAATATATATACATATAATAGCGATTTCATATACGCGTGGCTATCTTGATTTCCATCTTGATACTTAAAAGGTTCACCTTAATTATTTAAAGGAATATTCACTTCGTTTTGTTTCGAGTGAACCTTTTTAATTGAAGTATTTTTCTTTCGTAGGAAAAGCAAACATCGCTCGCGTTCACGTTCACGATCCAGAGATCGCGATCGCCGAGACAAAGATCGACGGGATCGCGAGAGAGACAGAGATCGGGACCGCGATCGGGACAGAGATCGCGATCGCGACCGCGACCGTCGGCGCAGATCCAGATCGCGCGAAAGACGAGATCGGGAAAGAGATCGTGACAGTGATCGGGACAGGGACAGGCGAGACAGAGATCGGGATAGAGACAGAAGGAGGAAGAGATCGCTGACACCGCTGACCTTACCTAGAGCCCGACCGCCCTTCGGTAAAGGTCACAGCCCGTTAGGAATGTAAGTATTATGTTTGTAAGATTTTCATACTAATCTAAATAGATTCTAGTAGTAAAATCTAATTAGTAGATTTTTTTATTTTTTTTGTCGAAATTAAATGAAGAATGCTACTGCTATATATCAAAATATATGGCAGTAGCATTCTTCATTTAATTAGCTAATCTATTCTGTGAGACTGCTATTCTTTCATATAAAATTAAGTAAAATTAAAATGTTTAATTTTACTTAAATATTATGTAAATTTTTCTATTTAATTAAATTTCTTTTACAACAAAAACTATGTACATTTATATAAATTTTAGATTTGTTTTATATAGTTAATATAAAAACAGCAGAATAATTAAATATAAAAGTAATTTTTTTGTGGTTATAGTATAATTCTAGAGTGAAATATAAAAATAAAAATTTAATTTGAATTAATGGGAGATATTAATCATAAGTTGTATATTAAAATTTATGTAATCGCTTAGGAATTAAGCAATATAAGATATTTATTTTTATTTTCTTATCTATAGTCATAAAAAATATTTAAAATGCATAATTGACTAGACCCAGTCATGGAATTGCAATCTGTGATTTTGGGGGGGATATATTTATGCTAGATCAATATGAATATTAAATTCGGATTTGTTATTACTGCTTGTTACTATTGCAAGTAACAGAAATTAATAACAGAAATTAATGTGCTACAATATCAAATTTAGAAATTAGAATTAAAAAAATTTTTAATGTACTTTGTCTTTTTAATATTTACTGATTATAACATTTGCCTTTAGAAACGATGAATTGACACCAGAGGAGCGAGATGCTCGGACTGTCTTTTGTATGCAGTTAAGTCAACGAATTCGTGCGCGTGATTTAGAAGAATTCTTTTCAAGCGTTGGCAAGGTACAGGACGTCAGACTTATCACATGCAACAAAACTCGAAGATTCAAAGGTATTGCCTATGTGGAATTCAAAGATCCAGAAAGTGTAACACTTGTGAGTATATTAATTGTTATAATTGGAGATAACAACGTTTCCTGAAGATTTTTCTTATTTAAAAAAACATTTTT